TGTCCTTCCTAAGGTAAGGAGCCCAAGACTAAACACGATATTCCAAATGTGGCCTAACCAATGACCTGTACAATGAAAGTATAACCTCTTTAGACTTGTATTCAATATTTTTATAGATATAACCTAAAATTCTATTTGCCCTACCATTCTTTAATTTTATTTCTTAAACTCTTTGTGAGCCAACCTGGTTTTTGACAGAGTTCTGTTGGAAAAAATTTTGTACTTCAACACTCTGCTTATTGGCTACATACGAGAATTTACATATTATTATGGAATTTAAAAGTTGAATTATAAGTAGTTTTTGATTATGTGTTAAATTATTGTTATAATCACCTGAGTTTAATATTAATTATTAACAAAATCATTATTCTTTCATAAACAGGCTTTAAAGCATCCCTAAAATTCCTTGAGTTTTGGGATTTTGTTAAATTCTGTAAAAAAAAAGTTGTCAAGCCCTAATTTTTTTGGAATTCCTAAATTTTGTATATCTATTACAGTAAAAAGAATTGTATAAAGAAAAGCTTGTTTGTGTTTAAGTATATATTTATTCAATGGATTTTAGTTATATGTATCATTCAACTTCTGTTTCTAGCCAGTTTTTCCAGTGAATCCACATTTTCAGCTGTTCCCATACTACCAGTCTTTTTAATATATGTGAAGTCTGTAATGGTAACCAATGTATATTAAAAGTGTGATATGGAACTATGAGTATTCACTGGTTACCGTTACAGACTCCATACATATTAAAAGTGTGATATGGAACTCTTAGTATTCATTGGTTACCATTACATACTTCATACATATTAAAAGTGTGATATGGAACTATGAGTATTCACTGGTTACCATTACATACTTCATACATATTAAAAGTGTGATATGGAACTATGAGTAGCCATTGGTTACCATTACATACTTCATACATATTAAAAGTGTGATATGGAACTGTTAGTATCCATTGGTTACCATTACATACTTCATACATATTAAAAGTGTGATATGGAACTATGAGTATTTAATGGTAACCAAGAGGCAAAATTAGTGGTGTGTGTTTATTTATTGCTATTTGTTTGAAAAAAGTTTCTAATGAAAATCATAAACATCTCATAAAATTCCTAAACTTACTCCTAAAAATAATTGAAAATAAGCCCTAAATTTTTTCCGAAAGGTGCTTGAAATCCTTCAGTTTGATACTTACTAAATACAAACTTATTTTATACTATGTTTTGGCTGCTAATCTGCTGCCATATTGAGGGAAGTCCAGATAAGGATTATTTCTATGTTGGCAGAAGCTGAGGTCTGATCCTGGGTATTCTTTATGGAAGTCTGGTGTATTATCCACTTAGCTGGGGTCTCTCTTTAAGTTTTCCTAAATCCATTACAAAGTCCAGGGCTGTACTAGGTCATTAAGTACTTAGAGTAAGGTTATGACGATCAGGTAACATTAGACTTAAGTGATCATATAGGCTGCTAACCTATATAATAGTTGTCGACTGCCTAAAATTTTGAATTTGGTTAATTTGAATTTGTTTCTTTTTGTCTTTATTAAATTTTTTTTAACAATTGGTTCACAAAAGATTCAAACTGCAAGCCATTGAAACTAAAAAAAAAATCAAAGAAATTGTTTCCTGTGTGTTATTAAAAAAGTTTTTCCTTTATAAAACTTGTGTAAGTTTGACCACTGTTTTCTTCATAGGATAACCCCTGTCAAGTTATCATATGCTTCTTATGAAAGTACAAAAGAAGTGCCAAAACATTTTCAGCCAGTTGTGATTCTCCATGGTCTGCTGGGTTCTAAAATGAACTGGAAAACTTTGGCAAAAGTTATGTCTTTAAAAAGTGGTCGAAAGGTAAATGTTTTTTTGTATCGTTAGATATTTGATTTTTGATATTTAGTTGAAATATGTTTAAAATGAATTTTGTTTTTCATAACTTTTCACTAAATTACACATCAATACCATAAGTGCCGGTTCTCAAAACGTTTAAAAATAATATTTGAAAAAAATTATAAAATTTCTTCAAACTGAGCCACGAAAATGTTTGAAACATAAAAGTATTCATAATTATTTTTTAATAAGTGAAAATTGGCTAAGTACAATTACTAGCTAGGTGGAGTTTTTTACATGAAGTAGTTTCTCAGAAGTCTGGTTGATCATTTTCAAAGGTATTTACCTTAGATGCCAGAAACCATGGTGACAGCCCTCACACAGAGGAGATAGATTATCACAACATGGCAGCTGATATTGAAGTTTTCATGGATGACATGGGCTTGTGCAAGGTAGTGCTTATCGGACACAGTATGGGAGGGAAGACTGCCATGACGTTGGCCTTGAAAAAAGTGAGTCAAAGAGTTGATCACTGTAATGTTAAGAACAGAATACTTCCGATGAACAATAATAGTACTGGTTGCACTTAAGGCAAATTTCACTTATAATGGCTGGAGGCGGCTTAAATGGGTAATGAAGAAAAACTTTA